TTTCATTAGAGGTATATCTTTTTTCTTTCATGGTCAAGCACTCAACGAGATCGATCTTTCGTCGGTAACGTCACCAACATCAAGTCCGAGAGGAAAGTAACACCATGCTTGTACTTCTAGAATAAACAAGTTACATTTAAACCCCGAGTCACTTTCAACTTTGCACTGAGTCTAAGAGGCATCTGCTGAATTAATGATCGTATTCCTGAGGCAAATTTTTTTACCTATCACCCATATATAGGCAAGTACAAACGTGCAATGTTAAAGATAATTCATTTTGCCCTGATTTTTGTTTGCCCTTGAAAACATCCGTCAGGGGAAGACCCTTTAAGTGCTAAAAGTCTCCTTTCTTTTGCAAACTGATAAAAGACTGTCGCATGGGAAACTATTAAAAAGTCTCTAAAATTTTACAAGGGGGTGTATTTAGTTAGCATATAAAACAGTTAAAAGGAATTAGTAGTGTAACATGTGATGTACAGATGTTTAAATAGAGTAGTCAGTGGAGTTAGACTAGGGGTTGTTTTAGTGATAGTCTATCTAGACACAGCGTCACGCACCTTGTCGCGGTTACATTGATGTATTAGGGAGAATTGTAAACGTGTTTTAGGTCGGGAGTTTCTAGGGTGACTGTGAAATGGGTGGTGAGCAGAGCGGGTGTAGACATGTGGGGTGATGGCGGGGTTTTGGAGAGAGAAGAGAGATCTAGGGGTCGGGAGTCTGGTGGTGATCACGAGAGGAAGCGCACGCGCTCACACACGTGTGCGTGTTGCGTTGTCTTTGTGCAAGATGGACACACTGTGCGAGTAGTTATTAAAGTTTATTCCAGTTACCACACAAGTTTTGGATTCCTTCTATATCATTTATTCAACGAACTTCATTTCAACGTTACATTTTGGTGCCGTGACCAGGATGAACGTTACAGTAGAACTCAATTAACTTTAAAAACAAATACTCTTGGAGTCCTTCTAACTGATCAGCCTCATGCACTCATTCCACATATTCTCTGAACTTCGTCGGATGTCTGATTTCCCGTGTTCTGGTTGATCTAGTAGTTTCTGAATTTCCATGAAAATAAGATAATTCCCAATAATGGACCCGCGTTTGCTGACCGATTCTGTGACTTTATCACTCCCGATAGCCTTATCACTTGCGTTGGTTTTATCACTCCCGATAGCCTTATCACTCGCGTTGGTTTTATCACTCCCGATAGCCTTATCACTCGCGTTGGTTTTATCACTCCACTCCCGGATAGCCTTAATCACTCGGCGTTGGTTTATCACTCTGATATTGCCTTATCGCTCGTGTTTGGTTATATTCCTTATCACTACGCTTTCTATGCTACGATAATCGGTTGGATCCACTGCGGTTCACAAGATTTGCGCTTATTCATCACTTGTATCAGGGCATTAAAGGACTAGCTATGCGTTCAGACCTCAGAACAATCGAATGTGTTATTGTGGATAAAGAGGACCTCTGTTGTGGTCCGACTGCACTGGGAGGAGGGAGCAACCAAGATTACGTCAGAGGGCAGCTCGCGCGCCTGATAGCGCTCACACAGGGAGGCGTAACACCGAAGTGAACGGCTTTTAGCAATCTAATATAAGTGTATAAGGCGATAGGTAAAGAGAAGGTTGGATGTGGAGATCTGTTCTCTCGTGTGTCTTAGTGTGTTATGTGGCTGTAGCAACTGTTACTATAGTTTGCTTTCGTGAGAATTTGCCAGCCACATTACTACCACTAGTATGCATATAACCAGTGCAAGCGTAGTGACGCTACGTATACGTGTTGGTTGGCGCCAGAGATTGTGTATAGCGTAGCAATTTGTTGACAAGGCTCGCCGAACGACATCGATACGCACACCGTAATTACTACAACTTCAAGCGTCCAGAGCTAGTGATTATCTAAGTCAGTGTACCATAACACTAAAGATCCCGCTGTTGCTGCATCTGTACAAACCAATGTTTGAAGTCGCCAGATATGGCACAGCTAGTACGTGTCCTCAGCTAGCTCTGGTGTATGTCTGGCGTGCGTAGATTTAGCCGATTGTAAATAACCGCTGCCAGCTTAGGTCGCGCCAGCACAACTCGCTTATTACTGCAGTGCCAGTTCTGCGGAAGAAGTAAAGTCGTCAGCAAACAACAACATGTCAAGTTTTCCGGCACATCCATGTGAAGCGGGAGATAACGCTAAACAGGGACTGGCGCCAGCGGCAGGTGCACAATTCGGCTTCGTAGATTCAGAGAC